TAAGTCGTCATCATATAATTAATGCAAAATTTAATCTCAGTTACGTAACTTTTTTTTAGGGGAATGCTAGGTTCATCTAACAAACCTGCTTTTTTGTCGGAAGTTTCTTTTTAATCGGAGGTTCAAACATAATGACCAATAAAATTTATCTAATATAAAATTTCTGACTGATGAAAAGTCGAGGCGGAAATTGACTTACGTAAACGGAAATCTCCGACATTTTACCATAAGTTTTGTGCTCTGATTCGCACTGCCGTAATGTTGCAATGTCCATACGTACGTACTGTACGTACATACTGTACGTACGTACGTACGTACAATCATCTGTATAAGCGCCGATTATGCTTAAACATTGTAATCCATGATTGTTATAAACAAACACGTTTTTATAAGTTTTGTATATAAGATTTTTAACACCAATTTTTCACGTACAAGTTAATATTAAGGTTAGAATTAGGGTTTGGGAAGGGTTTTGGGGGTGTAGAACATTTTTACTTCGAACACTTCACACCGATTAATTAGCCAGTTTTTGAGATAATGTATACATAGGTGTAAAACACCATAGGTGCGTTTTAGTAAAATTCTATAAACATACCTAACCTTAGCCTGACTCTAACATAAAGTGGCCATAATCCTAAATTCAGTAAAATATTGAATTACAAGTTTCTACGTACCGCCTTATCATCCCCCCAATTTTTGAACATAATTTTTAACACAGTTGGCATACTTTCAACTTTCACAATGTGTCGGTTTATAAGCTTTACTAACTCGAACTACACAAAAAAATCGAATACTAGATATCGCAACCGCAACGCGAACATAACTATATATCTGTGTACGTACGTACGAACGTACTTTGTAATTATATTAACTGTTAAAGTATTTTTACAAACATTTCCAAAAAATATTATGTAAGATGTTTTGAATATAAAAAGTTTAAGCAAATTATATAGTTATACAGAAGTTACAATTAATTTTATCTAGGTAATTGTAAAAAGAGGAAGGAAAAGCAGATTTTTAACAGCCGCCCTATATTGTCTAGTGTGTTGAAAAATGCGTCTAGTATAATCCAGGTCTGCTTCTTCCCGCGTTGCGAATGTAAAATTTCTAATTATATAATATAATTGGCAATTTTATTTTGTATTCACAACGCAGGAAGAAGCTCTCATTATGCAGACCCGGATTACACTCAACATACTAAACAAGATAGGGCAACTATTTAAAATCAAAAAAGACCTCTGCTGGAAGGAAGACCATATCGATATTTAGTCGAATAAACCTCAGAAAGTAATTTAGGCTTCAAGAGGTTGACAATAAGAATAAAGGTCAATTGTCTATCAAGTCAATTTAAATTGTCAATTTTACCATTTAAAGTTAATCAACTAAGATAAAATCATATGAAGTATGTGCTTCAGGCGTATCTACATATTTCTCGGAATTTTCTCGGAATTTTTCCTCCGGAATTCAACTTCGGAAACAATGACAAATATTTTTTAATATATTAATCCAAGGTAAATATACATGTTTTTGTGAAGAACAAAAAAACAAAAAAAAAAAAAAAACCAAAATGAAAACATCTTCTAAGGTCGCAATTACGATTTTAATCTTTGTTTTATGTCAATTTGTTATTAGTCTTCCTATCCTTCAAAAACCAAAAAAAGTATTTACCGTACAACTCAAAGACGATGTTACTGTTGTATTTACCGGTCACAATGAGGTTAATGAAGAACCTTCAGACGTTTATATGACTACAGTAGAACATCCAAATGTCGAAATATCTGAAAACCAATCTCCTGAAGTTAAATTTTCTGAAATCCAATTTCCTGAAGTCCAATTTCCTGAAGTCAAACTTCCTGAAGTCAAATTTCCTGAAATCCAATTTCCTTCTCTCGAACCAATTTTTGAAAAAATTCGGGAATTCTTTGAATCAATAGTTAACTTTATATCCGAACATTATATCATGATTATTGTTGTAATAACCATAATTGTTATATCTATTATCAGTCCTTGGATCCTTCTTGGATTTCTCCGATTGTTAGGATTTGCTACTGAAGGAATAGTTAAAGGAAGTTTAGTAGCCTTAGCTCAGTCCGCTCGTGCTTTGCCCATTATTGGATTTGGTGTTGCGGGAATAATTAAAGGAAGTTTGGTAGCCATATGCCAGTCTATTGCTGCTATAGGTGCAACTGGATTAAAATTATTACCTGTGGTGGTAATGGCGATATTATTCATGATATTATTTTTTTATCTACGGACATCGGCAAATGAGAACCAGTAAATCTAATAATTGATCAAAATGGCATCACCGGTAAAGTGTGACGATGGATATGATATACGTATTGATATGTAAAATGTAAAATATAAATTATGTATTTAAATATATTATTATAAATAAAGGTTACTGTAAATTTCTGACTGGTGTATTTGAATATTTACAACGCTAGTATCGTCTCCAGTGTTTTGTGAGGAATATAATAAAGTAATCGTTGAATCATATTTAGTATAACTTGGTGAACTTTAGTATAGGTGACAATCATAGAGTTAATACAAACGTGATAGGTTGCACTATATACTAAATTTTCAGGGTTGGTTGGTCAAAATCGGGTCTGGTCAAACGGTCTATGTCGGTAGTTTGTTACTAAATAATTAGTGATGAGGATCCCAAAATCCGATTCTATGTGGATAACAAATATTTTATTTACAGCTGTTTTTCAGACATCCATCTTCTGTTTGGATTCATGAATGTGTGTGTATATGTTATTATTTACGAAGCCAAAATAACCAGAATTCAACCCAAATCAGATGATCGAATAAGTATGCCCTTCTGTCATTACTTGGGTTAAATTGTGTTTTAAAGCTTAGCTTTATTTTATTCACAAAACTTCTTTCATTCTCTTCTATTTTTATTTTTTCTTTGTTCAGTAATTTTTACTTTTTGTTAGAAACTCTTATCAGTTTGAAAAATTCATTGCATCCTTAAGCAATTAAAAGATATGAAGACACTAATAGAGGTCTGACTCGATGAATAGAAGGTGAGGTCGGGTATTCTGACGCACCTAAGAGTGCTAATAGTAAAAGTTTTCAGAAAAAAAATATTATTCACAATTTTATTAATTAAAATAAGCTAATATTCTACCTAATATCCATGTCAAGCTAATAAACGCCTTAAATTTTAAAACAAAACTTGATAATCAGAACTTTCAAAAACTATTTGAAAACTGTTATGTTTTGTGAGTTGGGGTATTTTTGACGCACTATACATATCTAAATTTAGCAAAATTCAGATTGGAAAAAAAGAAAATAACGTAAGAACTACACAATAACGTCTAACCTTCCCTCAAGTCTTGATCAGAATTGATTAATTTGTATTATTCGATTCGTCTCAGTAAAGTGAATCGAATGGTACTAAAATTGTTTGATTCTAACCAGTGTATCACAAGACATTATCAAAAAATAGTAAGTGTGTCAAAATACCTCCCGCGTCATAATACCCGACCCTACCTTATATTCGAATATTCATTGAATATTCAAATAATCAAATATGTAATTGTTTCACTAAATGAATATTCAAATATAATTTTTTTTTTGTAAATGCCATAGTTGAAACTTTATTTAATGAGATATTAATTATTTTAAATTAATTAAATAGCTAGAGTAGGTTAGAGGAAACCTAGAATATCCATAAAAATTATTCACCAAATAAATCAATAAATATTCGATGAATATATAATACTGTATTTGATCAATTAAAATACAAAATAAAATATTAATAATATACTGTATTATATATAATTTTGTATTTTGATTGATTAATAATATTAAATATAAATAAATTAAAATTTTTTTAGCTAAGAACAAAAGTATAAGTTTGAGTTCTTTAAATTGTCGTGTGCAAGAATTTATTTAGATTTCGGTCTCTTAAATTGTCGTGTACTAAGAAGAACATTATTAGGTTTCGGTCTTTTAAATTGCCATGTGCTTTTCAGTGCCTTGTGCTAGGAAAACTTTATCTAAGTTTTGGTCTTTTAAATTGTTGTGTTCAGGGAAGGATTTATTTATGTTCTTTAAATTGTCGTGTATTGGGAAGAACTTCTAAAATTGTTATTTGCTAAAGAACTAGTTCTTTTGAATTTCTTTTTTAATCATAAAAATATATTTTTTTTAATTTATTATTTATAGAACATCATTTATTAATTATAATTCTTTATTCTTTAAATAACTCAATGAAATATTTAATATCGTAGTAATAGCCTTTTTTTGTGATACCGGCATGTTTCACGCGAGATAGTTCATGCGACGGTCCGGCGATGATTCACATAATGATCGTGACGATAATTGTTGCTTTGTCGTTTTTTATTTTTCTTTATCTAGCGGTTAATAAATATTTGTTAGTGTTCTCTACACGAGAGGGGAAAAAGTTGATTTATAATGTGTTGCACGGGTACCCATGGGATAAACTAGTTATTTAATATAGCTTATAAATATAAAAATTATTTGTTATCTCTAAGTGCATCTTCTATAAGTGCATGCCTTCTCTAAATGCATGCTCAGATTCTGATCCAAATATATACTTGACCTCTATAAATGCACTTTTCTTATTTTTTTTTTATATATAAACCTGCTAGCATATTCACTACAGGACGCTTCTTTAAATACATATTGTCAAAGTATAGTCTCAAGAGCATGCATTTAGAGAGAACTGACTGTATATTTAAACTTAAAACAATTTAATTTATAATATATATTATATTATATATTTTAATTTATTATTTGTTTTAAATTAATTATCTTATTTTATAATTATTAATATTCAATGAATATTCAATGAATATTTATTCAAAATTTTGAATGAATATTCGAATACTAAAAAAATTAAACAAATAAATATTCGAATACTTATTTGTTGACCGAGTAAGACCTCTAGATACTAAATTAGCCAAATCTGTAATACTGTAAGTACGAAAAAAAATAATATAGGAATGTAAGCAAATAAGTAAGACCGAGGAATAAATATATATTACGGATTTGTCATGTAAAAATAACATTACCTGATCAACATACATTTTGTTCTAAGAAAAAGTTATTATAGGTTCGGGTCCCATAGTAATAGGGTTGAGTCCCATAACTCAATACAACCCACCACAGACAACGTCAACGGTTCGAGTTCGACTGGAGGCGAAAAATACTCTGTAATATAAAGAAGTCAATAATCGAACGCGAAGCCCTGTGGCACAAGTCCAGGTGAATACGAGTTTGGATCGGGAAGTCCCGGAAGGAGATCAATCTGTGGGAAGCGGTAAACACAAGGATCTGTGGAAAAGGATTAGCCTTACCAATACGAAACAAAAAAATCCAAAACAGGTGTAGAAGTGGGATCTACCTTCGTTTCGGTAAAGTTTACCTCGCGGGTAAAGTAGCCCGAAGATCCGCTAGATACTATTATAAGTTTGGTGTTACAGAAAAAGCATTGAAACTCAGAGACTTTAAATAGGGAGCCACAGGTGGGTTCCAGGTATGGCAATTAGCAGGTAACCGTAGCCTCGTTGATATGCAAAATGTAATACCCTTCCTACGTAAAGTAGGATTGTTAATACTTAATAAAATAATAATCTACGAGACCTCTCTCTATAAACCGGAAAAAAAAAAGAAAGCTATTGGGCATGTGGTAACACAGCACTATCCCAACTTTCATTCTTTACGTCTCACTTTTGATCGAGTCCTTGAGGTTTGTGATATACAACAAACATTAAGCGTTCTGTCGACAGGTTTTAATTGGCATTGGCTAAGCTACCAGAATCTTTCGAGTCAATAATTTTTCATTACAGTGGCACATAATCAAATATTTTAGCATATAACGATAAGTGTTTGTAATTTTTTTTTTTAAAAAAAAAAAAACAAACAGTCGCATTTTCTGAATTTTATAATTATGATGTTAATAAGATCAATAATTTTTTTATGCCAATTTGTACTTAGTCTTCCTATACATGAAAAATCTACCAGAGAGTTACCGTAAAACGCCGTATAAGGTACCCCCCTTGATTTGTACCCCCCCTTGATTTGTACCGGGTATGTTTCAAGGTTATTTGTTGTGGTGTTTTGTAAGAGACCCGGGTATAAATCAAG